TTTCTGTGACTTTATTGCGTTATCAACAGGCTCATTCTTTTAGCCAATCGTCACATGCATAGACGACCTACTAAGGAAGGAAACGCTTGATTAAGAAAATATTTTGGGGATAAGTTCTCTGATTGAGATACATTCTTTCAGACATAATGTGGGCAAAATTTAAGATTTTGAATTGAGGACAACGTTATTCTATTATGCATTTTAGGCTTGGCGCTCTGACTGACCGTGCATGTCGGGTTCGTTAGCACCAGGATCTTTCAGTCAAGGGTTAGTGCATCGAAGGTGAGAGTTACTTTTCTTATAATAAGATCTTGTAAGATCATACCATAGGATAAAGCTCTTGCTGCTGATATGTATCAGGTTAAAACAAATAAAGGTAATTTTATGTTCGCTGCTGACGAAACAATGAGACCACAACAAATTTGCTCATGATGTTTAAAGTATAGGTATACAAAAAAACAAATACTTTCTTGCTCTTATGCAAGCCGTTTTTCTAATAAATCTTTTTATTACGCTCAGTAACTCTGAATTACACTAGTAAATAAGAACAACTGTCTGAACGCTTTCAATTTGTATATTTGACTAACTTCAAAGTACATAGTTGTGTTTTATGTACAAACTTGCTTAATGGTTAAAGCCAAGTGACAATTCAAGATTAGAGATTGAAAAGTCGTCTTATTAACCATTTGATTAAGAATTTCATAGAGATGACGAATGTGATATTAACAGTTAAAAAAAAGATTTTTTAACATTAAGTGGCATGAGTACACTGTAAGCTTTATTTACACCTGACGCGTCACTTTCATTTTATTTCTTTTGCACGTACTGTGTATAAGGTATTAGAACCACAAAATAAACGAACAATTAGTTTCGGGTAAGAGGTTCTACCGAGCCAAAACTCGACTTTACATGAAAAATCAACCTTTTCATTTTTCATCTATTGATGGTATTTTAAAAGTTTTAACCGTCACATAAAGTGTGAGATCAAATTTCATATACTGTTTTGTGATGAGCACACTTGCAAAGAAAAGTCAATTTTGACATGTTACGCCGCTTCTCCACGGACTAATGCACTCTCTCTTAACTAGCACTAACACAGATTCTACTGACCGTAAGCGATCAAATTTGGATCTGTTGATAAATCAACTAGTGTACCAACAAACTGAGGTAAATTCATATCTGTTGTTGGAGTGTAATGTAGTGCTGGTGTAGCATGAAAATGTGTTGTTTTCCAAACTCTACCGTTAACCGATCCGAGAAATAGTGTTGTTATAATAATAGGTATAAGTGTTTTTGATATAGCTCGGGCGCTTTCATGGTCTATAACGCTACCCTGGAGGTATTCCCGTTTCATTCTTGCTGAGATCTGACCGCGAACCCGTTTTTTTCCCGTGTAACGAAAAAATGCTGATCTTGGCAAAATAAATCTCGATCTTATAATTGTAATTGTGTTCTTGATGAAGTTCGTTATGCGATCCCGTTTTATTTGTATTTTAAGAGAGTGACGGGATCACAGCAGGATTATAGCAAGATCGTGTCTAATTCGAGACAAGATCTTGAGGAGATTTTCCTTTGTCCACCGCTGAGAAAATTTTTTTATTATTATATCATTCTGTTTCTTAAACTATCAAAGTACAAAATCAATCCTTGGACAAAACTAGGATCACACTGACTTCGTATTTTCCTCTATCTCAGTCTGTAACGATGTAATGTTCTTTTATTTCGTCCATCCGTTGATAGAAGGAGAAAAGCAGACAGACAGTGTGCGTATATTATCGTCCGCTGTGTTTATTCTTTGTTCTCTTTTAACTTATATAATAGATATACAATACAAGTCAGTTAGTCATTTCTCAACCTTTTAACGCAGTGCAACGTGTCTTTCTGCCAGTGTCTTTTGGGGTTTTGTTGTAATTAATGGAAATAGACTAACTATTTGACTATTGTCATCAGTAAGTACACAGCAATTTTCGAGCGAAGAAGAGCATTCGAAGAGGAAAATTAATTTTTTTTACTCAAAGTTGGAATATTTTCTTCTTGACAGTTTTAGAATCGAAAGAGAATACTCTTTCTCGGACAATGCATCACATCTAAAGTCTTCTCCAATGTGTAGGTTCAGTTAAATATGTTGACTGTGCAGAAATCTCAGAATGAAAATGTGCAACAGTGAGAGTAATGCACACAAAGGTTGAGTTATCAGTAAGATCGCTTTGCCGTTTGAGTCTTTCAGAATGTAGCAACAATCATTTTGATCCTGTTTGACGCACAGAGGATAGCGGCACAGTCAGAACACCTCAATCACAGGACGCTAGACTGGCTCTAGCAACGAACTGGTCCGAGTGTCAAGCATCTACGGATACACATTCACTGGAAGTTCAAGCGTGAATGTTTTCTTCACATACGGCAAACGTTACCTTATTGGCACAACTCACAGATGAAACACAAAGACAGCTCCTCTCACTTCTATGCCAGTAACGTTTCGAATTAGAACTGAAAAATACACCGATGAGGAACCTAAAGATACAAATGAGATGAAACTTCTCACCGGTAAAAACAATATCCCACTTTAGATGAGCAAATTAATGATAGTTCAACTTTGTGACATTGAAATAAAATGGAGTTTATAACTCAAAACAAAGAAAATAAATTGCTATGTACTCTGAAGGTGGTGTTCTAGAAGAAAATCCCTAACTACTTCATGTTCTCGAAGAAAATACCGAGTAAAACATGATGAAATTTGATGAAAAAGAGATTAAACCATCGAAAGAACGTAGTGGCAATCAGATAAGTGGCAGGAAAGCTTGCTCAGCCTTCCTGCAACCTGGTTCTAATCACACCGGGATCTTGATACGCTCTTGTCCGGATCTCCTTTTAATCCTGTCGCAACCTTTGCAGGATTTCAGCGCGATCCCATCAAAAAATTTTCGCATCAAGATTGTTAAATTTTCGTTACACGGGAAAAATAGCAAGATTAGGGACGATCACGGTATGGATCCCGCGTTAAGTTTCAAATTTCTTGTCAAAATCGCGGTAAGATGAGGCTGTAGTCTTTGCCGCGAAATGAAGCGAGAATGCTACTAGGGATGCCTTGTGCCCAACTGTCAGCACAAATAAATTCAACAGAGAATCACAGAATAAAAAGGAATATACATATAAAAGATGGAATTTGGCATATGAAAAAGTACAAAAAAATGCCTTTTGTGTCCAAATATCTCATACGAATGAGAATTACGTGATGCTACTAGGTGATAAAATATCACTGTTTAATCATAATTGTCGAGAAAATACTGTCATTACTCATTCTGCTACACAATCAGACTATTATACAGTTCAAAATATTAACCCTTTGAGTCCCGGCGGTACCTATAGGTACCAGGGGCTTTTTCTGCGAAACTAAATAATATCTCAAGGAACGACCTATGTCAATTTGAAACTTCTATATTTTTCCAAACTTTTCCAAAATTAAACTTCAGTATCCATACATATCAACTTTTTTTTACATTTATAATTTTTGAACATGAATGAACAAAATTATGTATAATTCAAAAAAATAAAAAACCGGCACTCAAAGGGTTAAGAAAGGTAAGCAAGAATGTAGAGAAGAAAAGGATTTCCACGTTGTTAGTCAAGTAAAGACTATAAAAACACGCAACATTACATCAAAATGTTTGCGTTAATACTAAGTACCATTAGAAGTTGTTCTCCTTGTGAAATTATGAGAAAACTCGTAAAAATAGTAGGCCAGAGGTGCTTACCGATGCCAAAGTATACCGACAGATTCATCGCGACTACCTCCGTTTAACAAACTCGGAAAGTTATCTCTATCATTCGTTCCAAGTTGATGATCAAAGCTTAAGTAAGAAAGTTCTTCTTTTCTTCATCGTCAAAATATGATGAACAAGTCCAAAGTTATACACAGAGATGTGCACCGCCGCGCCGATTCGCCGCCGCCGCTGAAGTCGGAGAAAAATTATTGCGACTTCCGCCGCCGCCGCTGACAGCGGAGAAAAACTGTTCTGACTTCCGCCGTCGCCGACATGTCGTTGAACTTTTGTCGCCGCCGAGGGCGGAGAAAATTTTTTTCCGAAAATTTTGACTATTTTTGTTAGTACGTTTTTACCTTAGGCATCTAGCGTGCAGCGCGTTTCTATCTTTTCGTATACGGCAACGTACAGATACAGTCAGGGTGCGAAGAACGTGCCAGAAATGAAAGATAACGTTGTTTTACTTAAATTATGAGATTCGCCGCCGTTAACTAATATTTACACGCCGCCGCCGAAGGTACAGGAAATTTTCATAACCTCGCGCCGCCGCCACCCATGGTAAAAGTTTCATTCGCCGCCGCCGAAAATTTTTTATTGGCGCACATGTCTGGTTATACAGCACTGTCTTTCTTTTAGAATAAGCGCTTATTCTGTATTTTATGGAATATTCCACTGAAGCTTCATGGTTTTACATCCTTTGAGTTTCATTAATAAAATTAACGAGTGGTGTTCACGCACCTCCATATTCTGAATCAGTTGTGTTTTAAGTAAAGAAGTGTGCATTACCTATAGACCTGATGCTTCTTACATACTATCATTCGAAAGAAGAAAGATACTAATTGAGTGCTGGAGATTTGATTGTCAATGCAACAGATGTCTAAATTCTCTTTTAACTGATATGATTATGGTTGCTGGTATTCTTGGAACAACACCAGTAACTGTACCTACTGAAGTTCACTAAGCGCGCAATGTATTGTTGAATGAGACTAAACTAAATACTTTAACACGATGCAGATTTCAGTCTGTTATAGACTGAGTTTCAAATGCTGAAAAATGTACCAGCAAAGTGTCGTCTTTATTACATATAGCATCACGATTTGCGACCTGATGATGCGAAACGAAGTTTGTAATTTTATGAGAGGCTAACCTATGGCGAGCTTTAAAATTTTCCAACCAACCATGAGAAGCACGAAATTCCTCAAGCTTAATT